CTGTGCACAGAGGCTGTGGTTTGGGCTGGTGTGGGCAGCTTGCCGGTCAGAGTTCTCTTATCACACGTGGCTGGCTGAACATCGGCCTTCAGTCTCTCATCCCCAGTGGGCCACCCCCAGACCCCTGGAAGAGGGGCCCTGCCGGCAAGCTCCTCCCTGGGCCTGGAGCTTGCCCTGTGCCCATTTCCTTCGGGTGTTTCCTGTCCCTGACCCCCGGGAGTTCAGGGTGGTGGAGGTGGACCCCGGTCCAAACCCCCTCGGAGCCCGGAGACCCACCCCGACTCCAGAGCAGGCTGCTCTATGCAGCCTGTGGGCGGGGAGGGAGAGCCACAGTTCTGCCTGGCCACGTGGAATGTTCTGGAGCCAGCTGCCTCTTTGCCTCTTCCCCAGTGGGGTGTGTCGTCTATCCCTCTCCTTGTCACCTGGGTTCCAAGGTCAGGTCACCCTCATCCCCCTCCATCTCCCTGTACCCCCTCGGCCAGTCCGTAGGAAAGGCCCTGGTCTTTGCCATCGGGCAGGGCTGGATGCTGGCTCTGCCACCTTCTCCCGGTGCCTGGTGGTCATTGTCTGTGTGCCCAGGAGAGCAGTGTTCGCCTGTTTGTTCCTGAAGCCTCAGCCCCCGGAGCACCTCTGGGCTCGGGGCGGACACTTGGCTAGTCTCTGCTGGATCCATGCTGCTGTCGGTAAGCGGGCAGTAATACTCCCCACTTCATGTCATGGCTAATTCTGGAAGCTCACCCCCTTCCTCCTCCCTGTCATGGCGCGCCTTCACACCCCACCACTGAGTCAGAGCTGACAGCCATGCCCAGTGCCAGGCTTGGCCCTGCCCCAGGATCCGGCGTCCGGCACCCAGGCCAGGTGGCCCTGGAGATGGCAGCATCACTCCCCCGCCCAGGCTGAGCCCACAGCCCACGGACTCGGCACAGCCGGTGGGGAGGTGGGGGAAACCAGTCCCGCCTTATGGGGAGTCTCTGGCAAGAGTGGGGCTGCCGAGTCATCCTGAGAGGCTGCTCCCAGGAAATCCAGGCCCTGCCAGAGCTGAGGCCAAGCCTGGGCTCTCGGGGACTCGGCCTGTAGGATGCAGCAGGTCCAGGGGGGCTACAGCAGCCACACGCCCGGCGGGACAGGCTAAGTCCGGCTCCTCCTCGCCCCTGCAGAGGCCCTCCACGCGAGGGACAGCAGGCTGGCCTGAGCAAGCCCCAGGCTGTGTCCAGAGACTCGGACCCAAGCTCACCTTTGCTCTGTGCCCAGCCAAGCCCCTTGCCCTCTCCATTTCCCCGCTTTCTAAGGAAGAAGCACAGGGCTCTGCCTCCCGCTTCCAGCCCACAGGATGGAGTGGGTTCCGCGTGTGCTGGGCGGCTGGGCCCACCAGGTGTCTGGTCGCCTTCTCTCACGGGCCCTGGCATGTGACCAGGCATGGGGCCCCAACATGACTCTGCAGTGTCCGGGGAGGCTGTGGCAGAGCAAACCCGGGCTGGTCCCGACTCGACAGGCTCCAACTCCTTACCACCAGGGGCTGGGGCCCCAGCTGAGCCCATCAGGGTGCAGGGCCGGCCCGAGGCCTCACCTGGCCAGTGCAGCCCCCTGGGAGGGAAGAGCTATCTTGGCGGGTGTGGGGCCAGGTGGGGGGCGCAGGGGACTCTCACCAGCACCGGATGCCAAGTCCCTGGGGTGCATTCCACCCAAACACCTCATCTTCCTCTTCCCCTGAGCCGAGCCAGGCTGTGGCCCCTTTACCAGGGGCTGGGTCTCTGCTCCCCACTCTGTACCCACCCCTGGATGGTGCTGGGCACAGCGTGATGCCCAGTAAGTGCCCATGGGGTGAAGCCTCCCCTTCTGAAGGCTGGGGTAGCCTGGGAAGCTGTGTTCCAAGTGCCTTGTCACATGGTGCCCACTGAAGCCTGAGACTGGCCAGAAAGGGCAGCCAACCTCAGGCCCCTGCAGAAGGCCTGGTGCCTCCCGTGAGCCCGCAGGGTGGTGGGGGCCAGAGACTCGCTCACCAACACTCACAACCTCTGCATCCAGGACAGACAATACCAAGGGGATGTGGTTTGGGAGCAGCAGGCGACAGAGCCACAAAGAACCCAGGTGGAGCAGCCAGGGGGTCTTCCTGGAGGAAGGGGCATTTGAGTAGACAGGTTAATTAACTGGGGTGTGCTGAGCAGGGATACGGCTAGGACAAAGATTCAGTGGTGGAGGCAGTATGGCTTCCAAGCGGTGGAGAGAGGGCCCGCCTGGCCGGAGGACAGAGAATGCCTCACGCCCGCCTCCCCAGGGCCCGCCCCAGCCCGGGGACTTTCCTGGGGACACACACAGGGGCCTCCAGGGTATCTCCAGGTGAACTGGAGTCAGCCTCCGTGGCTGGTGAATAATCACAGGGAGCCTCAGCACTGGTGGCCCAGGCGGGGGCCAGCGCGGCTGTGAGGGGAGGGGAGGCAGACTCTGTGTCTGTGGCTGCAGCCTCGGCCCCTGCACAGGGGGGATCACAGGCCATGGCGGAGCCCACAGCCAGGACAGGGGTCCCCATGCAGGGGGGGGCCGGGACTGTCCCTGGGGAGACCATCGGGCCATTGCCCTGTTGCCATGGCTCCTAGCTGCCACTAATCCTCACCCTTCTCGCCAGTGCTGGGCCTGACCTCTGCAGAGTGTACCCAGCTGTCCCCTCACTTGCTCCTCCTGGGGACACATGCCAGGAGCATGGGAAACAGGGGAGAAGGAAGGTGGACAGGCCACCTCTCTGGGGCCCTTTATTCTTTCTCATCGCAGCCCTCAGCAGCACGCGGGTGAGACCACCCAGGTGGGGGGCTGCCGAGGCCTCCCAGCCTGACGCCAAGCACCCGCCCACCCACAAGGCTGTGTCTCTGTTGTGCGCCAGGCACTGACTCACCCACGGGACCCTGCACCCCCAGGACAGTGAGATCGAGGAAGCTCCTTGGTGAACCCCAGAACTTTGGGGGGCCTCTTGAACTTGGGATCTGGCTGCCAGGAGCTGGATGCAGCCCACGGCTGAGATGTGAGCCACGAGGATACTGGGAAGAGGCTGAAGGGAGGGGTCAGGCAGATGGAGGGTTTTGGGGGGCCTCGGAGGGATTCTCGGGGGATCTGCCTGGAGAAGCCGCTACTGCAGGCTGGGCAAAAGGAGCCCAAGTATCTCCAGAGAAGGTGGAAAGGCAAAGAGCTTACATGGGGCAGATTCTGGGGAGGAGCCCGGGACCTGGCCTCCAACTCCTGTACCCACCAGGAATAGACTCTGCATGGGGCAAGATGGCTTGAGCTCTAGGAGCCAGGGTTCACAGGACATGGCTCACAGGTGACCACAAGGGGGCCACAACCTTACCCCAGGGCACTGCCACCGACCTCCATGGGCTGTGACCCAGAGACTCCCTGAGCTCCATGCACATGGAGGACAGAGCTGACCATTCAGGCTGGAGTGGCCCCTGAGTATGTCCTCCAGGTCACGAACCCAGTGGTCTCCACCACGCTTAGAACCCCCCCACCCAAGGCCCTTCCTTCAGTCATTCTCAGCATCAGATCACACCCCTTGCTGGGGCCTGGCCCTAACATTTTGGACCCTTTCCCACACTGGCCCCATTGATCACCTGTCCAGCCACACGAACATGCCAAGTTCACTCCTGCCACAGGGCCTTTGCATCTGCTGTTCCCTCTGTCTGAGTCTGTTCCTCACTCACTGGAGTCAGGCCCCTCCTTACAGAGGCTGTCCCTAGCCTTCCTGTCCCCACCACTGTCTCTTCCTCTGCACCCTGGTTCTTTGCACACAGTATTTATAATGATTCAAAAGCACCCCCGTTAAATACCTCTCTTTGCCGCTCTGGGAGCTCGTGGGATAGGCCTTGCCTGTTTTGTCCATAGCGACCTCTGCATCATCCAGGGCAGGCTGGGCACCCGGGAGTGCCAAGACCGAAACAATCCCAGAGGGTTTGTGCGAAGCTGCTGAGTTTGCAACAGGCCACACACATGTGCTCATGTGGTCCCCTTCCTAGCTGGTGAGCCCCGCAGGACATGTAGCCCGGCCCTAGCTCGCCACCCCCGGCCACCCACGGGGCCCCCACACCAGCCCAGGGGTACATATGGACCTCAGCTTCGGGGCAGGCATTGGGCAGGTCCTGAGTGGCCAGGACCACGTTACCTCCCATGGCCATGGGTTCCTGCAGGACATCAGGAAAGAGCAGCCTCCGTGTGGGCAGCTGTGCCTCCATCGGAAGGCCAGCAGGGATCCGCAGTTGGCGGACGGGCCTGTGGGGACTGTGGGCGAGGGCGAGGTCCCTCTCCCAGGCTCCATGTTTCCTTGGATGGGTGTCTGGCTTTGCATCTACAGGGGTGAGGTCTGTGTGGTCCCCTTAGGGAGCTGAAGGACACAGGAGATGGCCTGGGGTGGGGGAGGGAAGCCACCTCCTGAGCATGGGGTCTGAGTCTGGCTGGGAAGGGGGTACTGTGTGCTCCAGGGAGCAGCCCAGCCTCCCCAAGTGGAGCCTGCATGAAAACAGACCCTAGGTGTGAGACCCTGCATCTGTGTTTTGATCAGGTGACTGTGATCCCTGCGAAGGGGAGACCCTACAGAGTGAAGACAGCGTCCTGGGAATCCCCAAACCATTCAGCCAGCTGGGGCCATCTGCTGCCCCTCCATCGTCCTGACCGCCATCTCTGGCCCGGTCATTCCATCCGTCAGACATAGGCCTCCAGCGCTTCTCCTGAGGGAGGACCACTTCCCCATCCTTAGACTTTCAGGAGGGCGCTACCCGGGGCCCCTCCTGCCCTGCTGGAGGCAGGACCCTCCAAGCTCAGGTTTGTGGCCAGGGCAGACAGAAGAGGGGCGCCGCTGTTCTAGGAGTGAATGGGGCAAGCGCTGCGGATGAACGTGCGTGGGCTTCGGGGAAGGATGGGGAAGAGACCCGCGGGGCGCGGGGAGCCTACTGTCCGCCCCGCCCCGCCCCCCCTTCGCCCCGCCTCCCAGCCGGCGCCCCAAGCCCGGAGCGCCGAGCCGAAGCGAGCGCAGCGCCGGCACTTGGCTCCCGCCGCCGGGTGAGTGCCGCGCGCCCCTGCCCTCCGCTCTCGCCGGGGCCCTGCGCAGATCCCGGTTATCCTCTGGGGGGGGGGGGGGGGGGCGGGTCTCACTACCCTGCACGAAGCCCCGCGCGGCCCTGGTCCCGGGTCCTGCCGCGCGTCCCCCGCCTGAGGCGCCCCCGTCCCCCGCGCTTTCCCTGCGTTTCCCCGGGGCTCACCTAACACCACCCCGGGGGCCTCCCCTGCCCTTCCATCCGCTCCCCAGTCCCAGTCGCTCCATTCCCTCCCGCTCCCTGGCTTCCCTCACCCTTGCTGGACCCGGTGCGCGGGGGGTCAGGGCCGAAGCAGCAGGGAGACTCGGACAGTCGCTCTGCCCGCCGCGCCTCTGCGGGCCCGACCTCCTCGCGGTGGGCGCCGCCGCGGGGCTCGCCCCAGGCTGGCGGAGGGTGGGCGGCGCGCCTGGGGTGGGTTCGTTAGGAGACTGTGGCTTGGGGGGGTGGGTGTGGGAAGCGGAAGCAGAGGGAGCGGGAGGCGTGGGGCGCGCGGGGAAGCAGGTCCGAGGGCGCGCGCGTGCGGGGGCCGGGGCGCGGGCCAGCCGAGGTGGGGTCCGCCATGGCGCACCAGGGGGAGGCCGACGGCGAGCTGTGGGACCGCGGCGGGAAGAGTCGGCCCAACTTCTGGGGGTCCTGGGAAGGGAGCCCCCGCATGTCCAGGGCTTGGCAACAGTGCTCTGGAGTCCTCGTAGTCCTTACCCAGAAGGGAGTGCACGCCCTGAAAGTTCGCCTGTGCGCTGTCTCCCCACCCAGGGTCCAGGGGGGGCCCTCGCCTGCCCACCTGCCTGGCACACTGTCCCAGGCCTGCAAGCTGACCTGGGGTCCTGAGGAAGGGCCAGGAGCCACAGCAGGCCAGAGAGTGAGGCCGTTCTACAAACAGTTTCCTGTGGGGGAGGACTGGGGAGCCTCAAGTGGACAGTGGATGGAGGTTGATAGCATCAACACAATGACCCTCCATGGGTTCCTGGTAAAATGACCCAGATTTCCCAGAAAGTGTGCTGGAGGCAGAATACGGCCTTGGAAACATCTTGCAGGGCGTGGAGTCCCAGCTGGGACTGAGGAGGGGGCTGCGCTGGCCAGCCTCCTGTTTGCGGCACCATGCCAGCCCAGGCCCACCTTAGTCTCCCGCTGCGGCCCTCCGTGGGGGAGGCAGGCCCCCACCTCGCCCAGTGTTTGCCCTTGCCCCACTCAGGTGGGGGGACTCCCAGGTGAGGTGCGGATCCCAGGGGCATTGAGCCAATCCAGGCTGTCTCTGACCCTGGGTGGAGGAAGCAGGCACTCTCCTGCTGGCCTCCTGGGGGGCCAGTCCGGAAGAGACTGGGCAGCACGCGGCACTGAGGCCCCATCCCCATCCCCAAGCCCCTGGGAACCCTCCAGCGCCCTTCTCCTTGGAGCCCAGGGCAGGCCCCTTTTCGGACACTAGGGAGGAGATGCTGGGCTGTCTGGCGCAGGGGGGTGGGAGCCATTATTTGGCGCCCACTGCATGGCAGGCACTGCACACAGCAGCTTGCTCACGTGAGTTATTTCACGCGATCCGTGACTTTACCTCCGCCGGGGCTCAGAGAAGTGGGCCAGGGTGTGGGGCGGGGTAGGGGGTCTGCTCCCTGGGCTGCGTCAGCTCCTGGCCCTTCCTCAGGACCCCAGGTCAGCTTGCAGGCCTGGGACAGCGTGCCTCTGGGTCAGAGAGCCCCGGTGCTGGCCCATGGCTGATTCCACATCTCCCCCCTCCGCTAAACCCCCCACCGGGGGAGAAAGGGCCCCAGGGACAATTTTCCACGAGTGTAATTTCTGTGACTAAGAAGATTGCCGCTTCTAAATAATGGCTCCTGTAGAATTATGTTCCCAAAGGCAGGCGCCACCATAGCGGCCTAATTTTGTTCTTTACCGCTGTGCAGTCTGAGGAACTGGGGGCTTTGGGGGGTTGGCAGAGCACCTGGAAGCAAATCTCAGAGGAACCCTGAGTGGCCTCTTTAGAGTCAAATTCATGTTCAGCTGCCACATGCCGGGGACCCAGGCCCTGCACCAGGGATGCATCTGAGCTGAGTCGCCCCTCCCTCCACGGGTGAACTGAACACCTTTAGGGGGCTGCTGCTTCTTCCCCACCCAGCACCCCGGGTTCCCACGCAGAGTGAGCTGGCAGTCCCTTCTTGAGTATTTTTTTTTTTCCAAAATGTGAGCAGGGGTCTGGGGCAGAGACGAGCAGGCTGATCTCTACCTGTGGGAGCGAGCCTGCGGCCGGCCCTTGCCTAAACGTCCCCAGAAGGCCCTCCTCCCGGCTGGGCACCCGGGGAAGGGTGGGCCCCCCAAACCCAGAAACGCCCCTTCCAACCGAGGGACCCCTGGCTTTGTCTGGAAATGCAGTTGTCCCTGGAGATCACACCTTGCCCTGTTTGAGTTACTGTCCCTCACCTCACCTCTGGTCACCATGTCACACCGGGGCGCTCGGCACCAGGAGCAGCAAATCCAGCCCAACACAGGCAGCCTCTCCTTCCCCCTCCCAGTAAGTCCCCTCCCGGTGGGGACCCCAGCGTTACAGCGTTTCTCCCCAGTGCTTGGCGTCCAGACACCACTGGTTCCTGCCGTCCTGTTCCAAGTTCTGCCTGGGTTTCTGCCTTGTCTCCCGGCTGCCATTCTGTAGGATTTTCTCGGCATCCTTGATGTTCTGTGGGTGGACCCTGACGCTATTTTATCTGTGCTCGTCCCTGGGGCAGCTCTGTGCTCTCCGGCAGCATCCAGCACCCGCCGCTGCCTATACCCCCTCGTCAGCCGGCCGCGCTCCCAGGGGGTCCCCTCAGCTCCACTCCCATTCCCCGATTCTCTCTTCAGCCACATCCAGACCTGAGTGGATTCTGACTTTTGTGGATTTTTTTTTTAAGTCCAAATGATTTTTCACACCCAAGAGTTGTAACTTTCAAAAATACACACTTGTTCATTTTACTTCTTAGACAGGAGCCAAATTTGTTTCATAATATTTTTATGCCTGCCTTATTGAGGATCCTACACATATTTATTTAAATAGATCTTAAACATACTTGTAGACTCCTATTACTTTTATTCTGTCGGAAATGAATCCACTGACCCATCTCCCCACTGTTGATTTTCTAGGGCACACGTCCTAGCGGCGGTTAGCCGAGTGAACTTGGAGGTTCGAGCATGCCTTCCCAGCGGGAGCTGAGGGTTTCTTTCTGATATGGTCACCGTGCTTTATTCTGGGCTCCCTGGCTTGTCTCGCCAGTCTGGGGGCGTGCCCCGCTCTGACGGTCCCCGGGGGCACTGCGGGCCAGCCTGGCAGGGCTCTGGGGGGTCTCTGGCCCTGAGTGGCCCTGGCTGGGGCCCCCAGGGGAGCTGGGGCTCCCTGCTGGCCCCCACCCCCTGTGCAACGTGGCCCACTGGGGCGGCAGCTGCCTGTGCCCCCTCCCCTCTCCCCCCGTCAGAGGAGATGCTTGTCTTCTCTTGCACATCATCGTTTTTATGAACCTCCTCAAACATACAGAGAAGTACAAAAACTAAGGAGACATGTGTGCCCATGACCTTGAACCGAGGACGTTAATGTTTTCTGCTCTTTCTCTACAAAACCCCATGCACACCCCGTCCCAGTGGCCGGCCCCCACTCACACACGAGCACTTCCTCCTGGTCGGTGGCATGGGCTGGGGTTATGCCGTGGGTTCTGCGTGTTCACTGGCTTATGGCATGTGTGGAGGACCTCGTCTGCCCGTCCCCACTCCACGCCCTCTGCCCGGGCCTTAAGAGATGCTGCCGTCCATGGCTGTGGAGGGGCACGCCTGGAGTGCGTCCCTCGCCCCTCTGATGATGGCCCCCGAAGTGGTTTCCTGCATCATCTCCTTGGCCCAGAGACATCCTGCCGCAGCGGTGGCTCTGGGGAAACCGACTCCTCTGGCCAGTCTGTGGGCTCTGCGGGGGCTCTCAAGGGGATGGTGTTCCTGAGGCCTGATGGACGCTGGCAGAGCCTCTGCGGCCCGAGGTCTGGCTCCTCGGCCGTGCGGAAGGCCTGGCACCCTCCCGATGGCTCCAGGAGGTCACCCAGGAGAGCGGGGTTCGGCAGGTGTAACTACCTCCAGCCGGCATTGGCTGGGCGTGAGGGGCTCGGCGTGCCCGGCCGCTGTTCCAATCTTCCTTTCCCCACACCCATCCTGCACCATCCTCCGTCTCTGCTGGCGAGACAGGAGGTGGAGAGGCCACCCCCAGGCTCCCTGAGGCCCGAGCAAACGAGGGAGGTGGAGGCCGTGCGGCGGGCTGTCCTGGGGCAGACGGGGCTGTGGGGACAGCCAGGTCTCTGGAAGCCGTCGGGGTCCCAACAGATGTCACAGAGCTGTCCTTCTGCTCCTTCCTCTCTGGGCTGGTTTTCCAAACAATTTGCTTAATGTGGTTCCCGGCCGAGCTGGACGTGAGTAATACTGTTTACCTACCACGGGGCGATCCCGTGCCTCCGGGCAGGCGGGGCCGCGGGGAGGAAGCACCCTGGCCCGTTAATCGCTCTGCCGCCCTCCCTTTTCTCTGCAGAGAGGACGCGCCGTGCTTGCGTTCGCCCTGCCCTGGCCCGCGGTGGCCGCGATGGAGCCTCTGTTCCCGGCCCCCACGCTAGCCAGCTGGAACACCTCCTCTGCGGCCGCCAGCACAGGCAGTGAGAACGGGACGCTGGCGGGGCTGGCGCCCTCGCCGGGCGCCCGAGCGGTGGTGGTGCCCGTGCTGTACCTGCTGGTGTGTGCGGTGGGGCTGGGCGGCAACGCCCTGGTCATCTATGTGGTGCTGCGCCACGCCAAGATGAAGACGGTCACCAACATCTACATCCTCAACCTGGCTGTGGCCGACGTGCTGCTCATGCTGGGGCTGCCCTTCCTGGCCACGCAGAACGCCATCTCCTACTGGCCCTTCGGCCCTGTCCTGTGCCGCCTGGTCATGACGCTGGACGGCATCAACCAGTTCACCAGCATCTTCTGCCTGACCGTCATGAGTGTGGACCGCTACCTGGCCGTGGTGCACCCCATCCGCTCCACCCACTGGCGCCGCCCCAGGGTGGCCAAGCTGGCCAGCGCCGCGGTCTGGGCCTTCTCACTGCTCATGTCCCTGCCGCTGGTGGTCTTCGCAGACATCCAGGAGGGCTGGAACACCTGCAACCTCAGCTGGCCGGAGCCCGTGGGCCTGTGGGGCGCCGTGTTCATCATCTACACGTCTGTGCTGGGCTTCTTTGGGCCGCTGCTGGTCATCTGCCTGTGCTACCTGCTCATCGTGGTCAAGGTGAAGGCATCGGGCGTGCGGGTGGGCGCCACGCGGCGGCGCTCGGAGCGCAAGGTGACCCGCATGGTGGTGGTGGTGGTGGTGGTGTTCGTGGGCTGCTGGCTGCCCTTCTTCATCGTCAACATCGTCAATCTGGCCTTTGTCTTGCCTGAGGAGCCGGCCTCCGCTGGTGCCTACTTCTTCGTGGTCATCTTGTCCTACGCCAACAGCTGTGCCAACCCCGTGCTCTATGGCTTCCTCTCCGACAACTTCCGCCAGAGCTTCCGGAAGGTTCTGTGCCTCCGCAAGGGCTACGGTGCCGAGGACGCAGATGCCACGGAGCCACAGCCCGACAAGACCAGCCAGCCACAGGAGGCCACGCTGCCCATGCGCGGCCCCGAGGCCAACGGGCTCATGCAGACCAGCCGGCTGTGAGGGCTGCGGGCGGGGGGCTTCTGGTGGCGTCTGGATTCCCTGCCGGGCGGAGCCTCCCCCAACATTCCAGTGCCTGCTGAGGTGCCCCCTGCAATGGCCGGGATGCTCCGCACGGTGTGAGGACCGGCGGTCCTGGGCAAGGCCGTGGGTGGTCCTGCAGGGAGGCTCAGGGATGCGAGGGCGTGGGCGGGAGAGGCTGGATGCGAGGGGCATCTCGACCTTCTTATCCTGCCCCTGGCCTGTGCCAGCCTGCCCAGGGGCAGTGACCACCGGTATGAGCTGGGGACCGCTTGCCTCTGCCCTCCGGCCCCCTGTGCCTCCTCACATCAACCCTGGGTCACCTGGCCGAGTCGAGTGTGAGTCTGTGAAATTAAAGACACTTGGACGCACTGGGCTCCCCAGCACCTGCAACTGTTGACTCTGGGGGGTGGCAGATAAAGGGCGCACAGCGGTGCACAGCCCGCAGGGCAGTGAGGGTGGGCTGGGACCCCAGAGGGGACGTCTGGGACTGCGGAGCTCTGTTGCCGTGGAAACCCCCCCCCCCGCAGCCTGCTGCCCACAGTCATGGTTGGTTCCATGGTGGGAGGGGGTTGGGGGAGCAGCTCGCAAGGTGGCTGAATTGGGGGTGCAGAGTCGGCCCTGCAGGCTCCTGGGTCTCTAGGGCGTCGGAGAGGCCGTCCCAGGGAGGGGCGGGCACCCACAGCCATCTCTCTGCTTTGTCAGGGGCTCTGGCCTGAGAGGGCGGGGGACAAGAGCAGACGAAGAGACCTGTCGTGATAACAGGGGGGAGCGGCTCCCAACGCAAGCAGCAGTCACTCGGAGGGAGCACTGTGTGGGTGCAAATGCCAGCAAATGCCAGCAAATGCCAGGCCCCTGAGGAATTCTGCGATGCCCAGACCAGAGCGGCCTCGGCCACACCCAGGAGCACCACCCCTCGCACCGCCCCTGGCCCTTGACTTGCTGGGGTCCCATGTGCCTTGGGCCTCTGTCCAAGGCTGGAAGGAGAAGGACCAGAATGTGGGGGCTCACTCGGCCTACATGCCCCCCCACCCCACCCCCGTCTAGACAGCCATGCCTGGTGCCACCCCGGCTCACGCTCCCTGGGTCTGCCTGGAGCAGGACCTCCAACCTGCAGCAGGGGACAGGGAGCAGGTGCATGCCAGGCAGGGGAAAGGCCTGGTCAGCACGACCTGGGCTGCACAGACCCTGGACAGAGGCCAAGGCCTGGAAACACGAGAGCGTAACGAGAGCGCTTGTGTTTGACAACCCGATCTCCTGAATAAATTAGAGAATAAATGTTTGACTCTCTCCCAAAGCAAATATTGTCCCTGGAGCCAATCGAAGCTGGCGCAGATCAGGGCTCGTGGGTCACAGGAGGCTGGGTTGGGGGTGGGCAAGCGCCCGCTGGACGTGGGAGCCGGGACACTCAGGTAATAATAGCGACAGCGCAAACAAGCAGGGTCTAAAGAAGGGCCAGGCGTTTCCCCGGGGGCAGCCAGGTGGGCTTTCTGGGAGGTGGCAACAGGATGTGGCCTCAAAGGATGCAGGGGGACGTCTGATCCTTCTGGGCCCGTGGGCGTGGGCAGCAGGAGGCTCATTAGGGGCCCCTGTCCCTGGGTGTGTGGGAGCTGGCTGTCTCCACTGCTGAGTTCCTGGGGGCTGGGGCGGCTCCCCCACACATGGGGCCACGAAACCTAGCTGGTGACCAGACCCACCCCTCCCCCCACCCAGGGGCCAGCATCCCAGGGAGGGAGGGTGCCCTGGGAGAAACTGAAGCCCGTTCAGCCTGCCGCTTAGGGCTGGCCTTGGGATGCAAAGTGAATCCACTCAGAATGACTTTGGGGAGTGAGCAGATGGCTCGGAAATCTCCCCAAATCAGTTTCTCCCAATTGATTTGACATCATGAGCTGCCTCCCCAGGGTCATGCCAGCCCAGAGCACCCGCGCTCACATGTGTGCACCCGCGCATGTGCTAGACGTCCGCAGAGCCCTGGCTGGATCCTGCCGTGCAGGGTGTGAGCGTGTGCATGCGTGTGTGCGTGCGCACTTGTGTGAGCATGCATGTGTGTATGTGTGAGTGTGTGTGAGCTGCATGTGCATATGCATGGGTGTGTGTGCACCCGCACATGTACTGACTGGATCCTGCTGTGCGGGGTGTGAGTGTGTGTGTGTGTGGTGTGTGTGAGTGTGCATGGGTATATGCCCGGACGTGTGTCTGAGTGTGTGTGCATGAGCATGTGTGCATGGGATGTTCCTGGAGATCCCAGTCAGCCCTGGGACCCTGGCTCTGGGTGTTTGCTGGGAACCAGGCTTGGCCAGTGTGGACAGTCCCTAAAGCCTTGGGTGAGGGTGGAGCCCTGAGCAGGAGGCAAGAGGACCCAGACACCCCCAAAAGTCTGTGGGGGGACAGGAGCTGGGGGTAGGTTCAGGAGGCCGGGGGACACAGCCTTCCCACACCTGGCACAGGCTGGGGACAGCTGCGGGAAGCCCTGCGTGCCCAGGCCCTGAGCTGGGGGGGCGCGGCACAGAGCAAACAAGCTCTAGCCAGGGTGACCTGCTTTATGGGCTCTCTCTCCGCATCGATGCGTTTTATTGGCCCCCGGGCTCCAGTGGCTCCCAGAGTGACCTTGCTCAGGAAATCCGGCCTGCAGGGGCAGGGCGAGGCTGCCTCCTGGCTGGGAGGGCAGAGGCAGGAGGGGTCTGTTTGCCTGGCAGGGCGGGGCAGGAGGTGGGAGAGGTATCCCCACAGTGAGGGAAACCGAGGCTGGCCACCACGGCCCCGGCTGACAACAGCTCCTCCCAGGCCCATCCCTAGCAGCAGGATCGATGTAGGGGTGCCCTGGTGGGGCCTGGAAGGGCCCAACCCCCTCAGGTGTCCTAAGGCAGGAGAATGGGCAGAGCACGGGTAGACACCAAGGAGGACTTCCCACAGGAACCTGGAGGCCCCAGAGAGCTGTGATGTGCTTTGGGAGTGTCAGGGAGACGGATATTGAGAATTGGGTCTTCAATGGTCACTTCTCAGGGCATCTGCATACCGCGGATATCATACCTGGGACCCTCTCTCTCACCCTGGCCGGTAAGGGGAGGTCCCCATCCCGGACACTTCCACCTCCCTTCCCTGCAGCCAAGCACACTGTCCTGTCCTGTCCAGGCTGGCTGGTGTCATCCGGGCTCCGTCACACTGTCCTGTCCAGGCTGGTCGGTGCCATCCGGGCTCCGTCACACTGTCCTGTCCAGGCTCTCTTCTGCTCAACGCCCCGCTGTGTCTCCTCTCTTCCCTGACATTGTCCGGGCCCAGCCTGTCCATGGGAAACAGGCAGCCCACTCCACTGGGTAGTTTGAGAAGACTTTAATAAACCGACCTTCTGCAGGGGTGGACAGTGAAGTGCCCTGGACCTGAACCCTTCTCCTCCATGCCTCCCGTACCCTGCTGGGCTCCCCGTTGCCAGACACAGTCTGGGAGGTGGCGATGTGGTCCATAAGGGGTGAGGATAAAGCTGGGGAGTGGCCGTGGGGGAACGGGAGACACCCAGCACCCCCTACCCACATCCGTGTTCTGGGGGCCATCGGGCCTGGGTTGGACGGGATGCCGGGAGCTGCCCTGGGTTAGCCTCCAGAGCCCCCAGTCCCTGCCCACGTGGTACCCAGCCTATGCTACTGGGTCTTCTCCCTCCCTCCTAACTCAGCACCCAGCAGTCATACCGAGGCGTCCCTGGAGGCAGGCAGGTGTCTGCCCCGTGGCTGGTGGCGCAGTGGGGTAGGGGACAGGGGTCACAGGAGAGAGGCTGCTATTGCCTAGGGCCTCCCGCTTCTGACACCTGGCTGTGGCCTCACTGGCCCTCTGGATGGAGGATCTGTCCACATGTCCTCTGGGGCCACCCTGCTGGGGCCCAACCAAGCTGCGGCGTCCGCCTCGGTCCCCTGAGGGGCGCAGATGATGGTGGTGACCAGGCAGCTTGTGAAGGAACGTGTGTGGACGCAGCCTGCCTGGGGCCAGGATGGTCCTCACTCCTTCCCACACTGAGGAATCGTCCACCCCCTCCGGTCTCACGTGTCCGTGTGTCTTGCGTTTGGGTTTCAGCCTTGATATTTGCTATTTTTAGACTCAGCCTGTCGCTCGGCTACTTGGGAAATGCTTCCATTTTGGTCCTTAGATCGAGAAGTCTTTCCCCATCCACAGACTCGCGGAATATTTTCACATATTTTTAACTGTGGTAAAATAACACCGTCTTTAGGCGCACAGCTCACTCCCGACAGAGCTTCCATCTTCCCAAACTGACGCTCTGTCCCCATGAATCGCTGACTCCGCGCCCGCCCCCGCCCCTGGTGACCTCCATCCACCTTCTGTCTCCAGGGATCTGACGGCTCAAGGGGCCTCGAGAAGCGGAATCCCGCCATATTTGTCTTCCTGCCACAGGCTTATCTCCCCGAGCGCGATGCCCTCCGGGCCCACCCCTGTGGGAGCACGCGTTGGCCTGTCTTGAGTAACATTCCATTGTGTGGATGGATCACGTTTTGTCCGTGGCTCCCCTGTTTTGGCTGTTGTGGATCGTGCCCCCGTGGAGGGCGTGCGTCCCACTTGTGTTCAGTGGCTGTATTGCTGGTGACACTTTTACTGGAATGTGCGTTAGCACGTGGGATGCACGTCGCGTGGAGGTGGCACAGCCTCCTGCCTCGTGGACACACCGGCCACTCTCGTCCCCGGGGCATCCTCAGTCTCTGCCACTGTGTTCACTTCAGGCTCTTCAGGCTCTTCTGGGTCTTCAGGCTCTGCTCCAGTGTCTCCTCGGCTGGGTCAGAATGTTCTAGAATCCTATCTATTCACTTTTCCAGGCCGCGTCCAGCGTTAGTCTACAAAACTAAAACAGTGGGTTTTGTTCACAAACGTTCATAATAGCATGGTCCATGACAGCCCACCAACACTGGCACGGACGTGCCGTGGTCCATCCACACAGCAGGACGGCGGGGGGGTGGGTGGTCAGCCACCAAGGGGAACGAAGCCCTGACACGTGCTACGGCGTGGCCCCAGCTGGAGAACATGACGCTCAGAGATGGAAGCCACGTGCAAAGAGCCACGCGGTGTGCGATTCCGTTTCTCGGAAAGGCCCAGAAGAGGCAGATCCAGGGACACAATGAAGATCAGGGGTTGCCGGGGGAGGGGCTGGGGTCTCTCTGGTGGCACAAGAAAGTTCCAGAACTGCACGGAGGTGGTGGTTGCACTGCACTGTGAATGTGCCGAATATGCCAGTGAACTGTTCACTTTAAAATGGTCAATTTTATGTTATATGAATTTCACCTAGATTTTTTAAAGGGATGTTTCATTGGAATCCACTAAACTGACAGACTTCTGCAGGTAACCGGCTCCCGACAGGGCCCCCCCCGGGGGCACGTGGCCGGTGCCTCACACTCGCTGCTCCTATTGGCTCATCCCCTCTCCGGCTGCCCCGGCGGTCAGGGCAGCCCGCGGCCTCCTACCTGGGCACTCAGCTGCACCTCTCGGCCTGGTCACTTTGCAGATGCTGACTCTACCCTGGGTCTCGGTTGTTCCTTTTTTTAAAATAAATGAACCTGGGGGCGCCTGGGTGGCTCAGTTGGTTAAACGACTGCCTTTGGCTCAGGTCATGATCCTGGAGTCCCGGGATCGAGTCCCGCATCAGGCTCCCTGCTCAGCAGGGAGTCTGCTTCTCCCTCTGACCCTCCTCCCTCTCATGCTCTCTGTCTCTCATTCTCTCTCTCTCAATAAATAAATAAAATCTTTAAAAAAAAAATAAAAAAATAAATGAACCTGGAGGGTGTGTTTTGGGGGGAGATGTTGGCATCTTGTCCTGGACCCACCGGCAGTGTCCGCTGGCTGCCCCCCACCCGCTGAGGGCCCTGAGCATGCCCCCCCATACCACCCCTGGTTCTCAGAGCATGTGCTGGCCTCGGCACCTGCCTATCAGACGCCATTCTTGGCCCGACCCACCCCGGCCTCCTGGGTCAGCACCTGGCAGCAGGGCCCGTCCCCAGACGCCCTGCAGCCCTGTCCCAGCACGGCCCTGTCCCAGCACGGCCCTGTCTAGGCTCCGTCAATAGCTGGATTCATGCCGTGAGGTTCGAAGGAGTGGCCACCGGGTCAGCAGACCGCCCTGGACCCGGGCACCTCTTGGCCTCGGCTGCTCTGGGGGCCCAACCAAGGCTCTCGTCACCCACCTGCTGCTGGCTGTGAGTCGAGGCCACACGGCAAGCCGGGAAGACAGAGGCTGCCCTCTGGCCCGTCTGGCCTGCTGGGG